TATTGTTGTGTTGTTGTTGTTGTTGTTATTATTATTATTATTATTATTATTATTATTTCATGTGGAGCAGTAAACTTCCATGGTAAAATTTCTGACAGTGCCCAAATGTCTGTCTGTCTGTCTGCCTGTCTGTCTGCCTGTCTGTCTGTGTGTCTATCTATCTATCTATCTATCTATCTATCTATCTATCTATCTATCTATCTATCTATCTATCAAAGCCACTAGTTACATTAGAAATTTCAGCTGCCCTCAGAATATTCTACATATATCTGTAGGGAGAAGAGAAATTTGCCAAGGAAAATCACCATTTTTGACATTCCAAGTAATATCTGACTATAAGCCAAGTGTGGAATGAGTTCATCATTATAAAGCTACAATGACCAACATTTCTGCAGTGTTTCCAGACATGTTTTGGCTTCAAAGGTCAGGCTCATAATGACAATTCCTGGATGTTTTCTGTGCCAGTAACTTTTGAGCTTTTTTTCTGAAATAAGTATAGATTTAGGTGAAGTTCTTGCTTAAAACTCTGCTTTATGTGAATTGAAGTCAGTGACTGAACTCTCATTTCTTCTAAGCTGAGTGGTCTGAGAAAGGGCTACTCTGTCAAAGATAGCTTAACCAGGGTTGTCCCACTGTTACTTAGTTGATGTCACTAGGCAGCATCTGGAACATGCTTCAGACAGCCATTGGCTATGATGTCTTTGGTGAGATTGCATCATTATTTACATCTAAGAGCCTATTTTAATCAAAAGGACACATGGCAGGAGTTGGATAAAGGAAGGTGCTTCCCACTAACCCTGTATCCATATCTCATCTGGCCTATTGTTAGTCAAACAACTCTTTGTGTTTAAGAGACAAGGGGTCTCTCTCTCTCTCTCTCTCTCTCCCCCCCCTCCCCCTCCCTCTCGTTTCCCATTCTGCAAGATGTAGCTTAGGTAAAAGTAAGACTTTCCTACTCTCATGTGTCTGTTAGCATTCATTGATAGCTGGGCTAAACCCATACTTTGCATCCAAGACAACATTAGGAGGATTTTACTTCCTCAGTGGAATGCTCTGCTACCTAATTACTCTGCATATGCTGAGAAGCACATCCTCTAATCTCCAATATGTTTCCATCCCAAATGGAAAACAAAGGTTTAAAAGGCCACCTCCTTCTGTATTCATTTTTCAGTCTGATGAGCGGAGAAGGGGAACTGGTGACCTACAGTATATTTATCCCCGTGCTGGCTAAAGCTGCTCAGCGTCATAACTCAGCAACAACTGAAGGGCCACAGATTTCCCCTCCTGCTATGGAAGGCCAAAATAGATTTGTTGCTGGGTGAGATACAACATGAGCTGACTACATCATCACTGGGTATAAAATGAGGGGAAAATGTTTAATGTGATAGAAAAACACTCTATCGGTCTTGTCACTGATTTGAATGAGATGAGATTGCCTTAGCATAATATTAAGCCTGTTAAACAAGAATGGCAATTAAAAAAAAAAAGTTTAAAACTTGTAATTGTATATTTTTCTTGCTAGGTTTACCTCTCCTTGTCCAGAGGACAATTGCAAGGACCATTGTTCTTCAAGAAATAGTTGGAAAAGGTCGATTTGGCGAAGTCTGGCGTGGAAAATGGTGTGGAGAGGATGTTGCTGTGAAGATCTTTTCCTCAAGAGATGAAAGGTCTTGGTTTCGCGAAGCAGAAATCTACCAGACAATCATGCTGAGACATGAAAATATCTTGGGTTTTATTGCTGCTGATAACAAGGGTATCATACTTCCAAACAGTTTCACAATGTTTGCCTTGTGCTAGATTAGACCAGTGGAATTATTTTTCTATTTAAAAAAATAGCTTTGTGGAAAGAGAAAGAAACTGATGCATCTTCTATGTAAACCAGTACTGAAAAGCTTAGCTTATCATGCTCTGGATCTGGAAAAGAGAGGAAAGATGTATTCTGTAGTCCTGCTGTGAATGGTCAGTACTCTCATATCAGCTACATGGACAACTGAGATTATCAATGGTCTTTGGGGAGTGCCATTGCTAGCACACATTGGTTCCCAGAGAAAACATTGCCTCTGGATAGGTTCACGTATCATGCTAAACGGTGATTTGTTTTAACCATGGTTTACTGAATAAGACATTGTGCCCTGGTTAACACATACCACTACTCCATAAGCCAAGATTTATAAACTACACACAGAACTAAGACACATTATGTCTTACATGCGAGTTAGCTTCTGTTGGATTCTAACTAGGAATTTACTTAGTGAACATCTCCTGCCTTAGCTATTATCTTCCAGGCATTGTTATAATTTACTCTCTATATATACACTTTGGAGAGATTATCTAATTTATTTTAGTATAGTTCTCCCCAGTGAAAAAATGGGACTAAGGTTAAATATAAAGAATACCAAACTAATAAGAACAGGTATAGCAACCAGCTTGGACAACGAAATTGACGTGGTGGATAGCTTCTACCTTTCAGGATTGACTATCAACAATAAATGTACCAGTAGTCAAGAAATACACCGTAGACTAGCACTTAGTAGAGTAGCCATGAAGGACTTGGAAAAGATATTCAGATGCCATGATGTGTCTGTACGTAACAATGATCAGAATTATGCAGACAATGGTTTTTCCTGTGACCTCTGTGGAAACAAAAGTTGGACTTTAAAGAACCACTATAGAAAGAGTATTGATGCTTTTGAACTTTGGGGTTGGAGAAGTCTCTTGAGAGTACAGTGGATAGCCAAGAAAACAAATAAATGGCTACAACAAATCAATCCAGAGTTTTCACTCAAGGCACAAATGACCAGGCTCAAATTATCATATTTTGGATCCATTATTCAAAAGCCTAGCTCCCTTGAGAAGTCTATAAAGTTGGGAAAGATGGAAGAAAAAAAGAAGACAAACCAGCAGCAAGGTGGATGGCTTGATTACATCCACAGTGGGTACACTATTGAAGATGTGAAGGGCCGGGTTGGGGACAGATCATCCTGGGGAAGGTCTGTCTGTATGGTTGCTAAACGTTGACACCAACTTGATGGCATTTAATCAATCAGTCAGCAGTTCTTCCACACCTCCATTTCCTTTTTTAACACTGCTGCTAACATTGTTTTTAGAAATGTTTAAAGCAGCCTTTTCCAACCTTATACATGAGATGGGCGGTATATAAATTTGATCAGTCAATCAATCAATAAACCCAGTGAGCTCTGGATGTGTGGAGAATACTATTCCAACATTTCCTGCAAGCATAATCTGCGAGGCAGCAGGTTGAAAAAGGCCGGATATAGGTGTATCATTTTATTTATGCAACTATATGACCTTTTTTTAATGTGTGAACTAAGGGTTTTAAAACTTATTCTAGCTGCAGAATTTGTTAGTTAAAAAAAGAAAAATTCCCAAGACCCCTGATCAGAAGGCAAAGTGTCATTGAGCATAAACACCCCTGGGAGAACTTGGCTTTTGAATGTCAGCTGACGCGCTTGCTTGCTTGCTTTCCATTAGCCTTTCATAAAACCCATTAGGTTCTCATGGAACCTAGGGTTCTGCAGGACACCGTTTGAAAAATCATGGTGTAGACCATAACTTTTGTTTAATGATACAGACATTACTGCCTCTAGGTACTCTATTCCTTTTCATTCCCTTGGATTACTAGGGAGTTGGTGAAACAGGAAGACAACATCTGAAACAGATTACATAAAGATTAAGCCCTGTCTGAAGTTTAACTCGGCAGCAGTGGAGACAGCAAATAATGCTTATTACCCTGATGCTATTGTGTCCACACAGAATAGGTCACTGCTTTTTATCCATGCCGTGAGACATCTCCTTCATCAAGATAATGGAGAAGGAAAGGGAGCCGGAGTAGTCAGTGGCTTGCTTTGTACAGTTTGCATAATTCTTTACAGATAACTTTGTATGCATCATGACCTGGGCTTCAGTGTTGGGGCAGACAATAGGAATGAAATTTAATTGGTCCCATTATTTTGAATTCTTCCAGCTTGTAGATCTGAAGGATGGGAATAGCATAAATGTTAAGATGAGGGTTATCATCTTGCTCGTTGTCACTCTTTGCCTCAGAGTGGTCCCTAGATTAAGGGAGATGACCAAGGCTTCCTTGGTAGAAAGATGGGTTTCACTCTGCCCAAGGAAGAAATTATGTGACTTCGGTTGAAGAAGCCTTCCCTTGACCTAGGATATCTGTGCAATTATAGTAAATCACAAACATTCTATTTCTGGAAAGGAGACTGAGAAGATTCACAGCTCAAATGGCATCTGTTGATACTTATTACCTGGACCCATTTCAGTTGCATTTCTGGCAATTGATGAATGACATACTAGAAACTGGATGCAGGGAGTGGATAGGTACTGCAGCCTTCCTAATTCCCCTGTGCACCTCAGTGGTTTTTTTCTAAATTGCTTGCCAAGGTTGAACCTCAGGGGGCACTGTTTCACAATAGTTGTAGTCCTCCTGTCAGGTCTTGTACAAAACCTGGTGCTAGGAAACTACTGTTTGACATCTAGGCCATTGACCTGCGATATCCGTCGGTGTTTCATCTTGACCTATGTGCTGTTCATTCTCTTCATGAAATTGTTGAGGGAAATCATTCTGAGCTTTGGGATAGGGTGTCATTATTAAGCTGATGACACCAAGCTCTGCTGCTCCTGATCATCCAGCTCCAGGGAAGCTGCTAGAAATCCTTGAATGTTGTATAAGTTTGATGATAGGTTGGAGGAGGGAGAAAAAGCTGAAATTAAATTCAGGCAAGGCACAGATGCTGTTATGAAACTGAACCCCGGGTTAAAGAAAGTGTAACACCAGTTTTGTACAATGTTATACTTTCTTTAAAAGACTAGATCCACAAACTGGGAATATTCCTCAATTAGGGAATATTCCTAGACTTGTAAGTGGCAGCTATGGCAAAAAGTATTTTGTCAGGTTGCAGCAACTCTTCTTGAGCTGGTTGGATTTGACAACAGTTATCCATGTCTTGATTACAGCCTGATGGGACTATTGCAATGCACTGTACATAGGACTACCTTTGGAAAGAACTTGGAGCCAATGCAAAATATGATAGCTAGGCTGCTGACTGGTGCAAGGTGCCACCATCATATGGTACATGTACATACTTTGCTGTCAGGTTCTCTGCCCTTTGGTTCAAGGTACTAATATTTGATTATTAATCTTCTGAAGCCGGGAGAATCCAACAGCAAGGTATGTACAACAAACCTGGCCTCCCTCTCTTTCAAGAAATTCATATGATGCATATACTAGATACATTAAATTTAAGTAAAGTTGAATGTGGCTGCATTTCAAAGACTACTTGTTATCTTATATTTCTTTTGCATGTTCTTATACCAATGCCATAATGAGAGCACTATAAGGTGCTCTGAAGATATAGTCATATGGTAGAATGAATTCCAGGTGCTTCTTTAAATAAATTGCCTCCTGTGGTTTCTTTATTTTGACCAAGAAGCAAATATCCTCTGGATTGTACTATGAAGGGTTACAGGAGAGGAGAGGAGAGGAGAGGAGAGGAGAGGAGAGGAGAGGAGAG